TAGGATACAAACAAAACAAACAATGTTCACTAACAAAATTTAAGATTACACTTTATAAACAAGAAATTGCACAGAGCGGCAACAATTTAACATAGATAGTTTTAGGAGGAACACAAATGCCCAATAAAGGGTGAGCATCTCCTGCTCCTTAAGTAGTACACAACTTTGTTTTTAGAGTAAACTTCCATTTATCATAGTTTTTGGTGACAAGCTATGAACAAGGACGCGAACTGATCTATGATCTTCAGGACGATGTCAATCAAGTCATGATTGAGTCTGTAAAAAAATTCGAAGAACTACCTCAAATCTTATCATTAAGTTTATTAACTTTTTGTTCAGTCATGTCCTCTATCAAGGAAATCATGGTTTGAATAACAAGCGCTTGAATGTTATCTACTAGGGGACATATACTTTACCGGAAGTAGCTTTTAGCATTAGGTAGTAAAATCAAAACTATATACCGATTCCGTACGCACCACACCTGTGTCATACATATACATGGAAAAAATAAAAAGTTTGTAAGGCCACACACAAACATACATTTGGTATTGTACAGGGTTGAAAACACCCATAGAATACTGTAAATTCAGAAATAACTGCTTGCATTTGTTATTGCAATATTTTAAATACGGACAAAATGCAAAATTAATTATTGTAATTTTAGGAATATCTTCAAACATATCTGTGTATCAGATATAAGAGTTCGAGTTTATATTATTGAGTCAGTCAGTGGCATTATTCGCATTGATAAAAACCTCGCAATAATTTTCATTAGTTCGAAATCATATTTTATTTATTATTCATAATACTTTGCCATTTCTGAGTACTTTTTATATAATAATAATTAGTTGCCTTCTCTGAATTTTTGTTGTCGAAATGCCTGATGGGAACGTGAGTCTTTGCAAACAAAATGCACGTCTGACTTACAAATTTACAATCTTTGTATCTTTGATGAGTTTTTACAACCACTGGGTCGATGCTACTGCTGGTGAACTTTTCTTCCCCGACGGTATTATCAGCCAAATATTTGAAGCACTTAGGGCTTTCTACTAGAGGGTATAGATTGTCTTAACCGTATTTGGCACAATCATTCTATATCTTTGGTATATAAAGCTCTTTTACTTCGTATTGAGTTAAGCCAAATGTTTGAACGATACTAATGATTCTCTTACAAACGAAACACGCGTCTGGTGTGCAAAATCACTATGCTGGTCTGTGCACAATTTACACAGTGTAGTATATTTCAAACTCAAACCCCGCTTTCTTTTAAGCCATGTCTTTTCAAACACAAACTTGAGCAAGCTGCTATCTATAAATTTCTTCTTAGACCGTTTAATATCTGTTCCCAATGCTATGAATGGTCAAACAAATCACATGACTTATTATTTTGGTAAATAAGATTCGACGTATAGCTAACTCAGCACATAAGTTAAGGAGAATGTGTATGGGAAAATAGGGATAACAAATAGAGACCAGTTCATGACTTTTCAACCTGTTTGTTCTGAGTACCTTTTCTTAGTTTTCTACTGTTCCCAATTACATCAACCTTTGAATCAAAGATGTATTAATTGGAACCATTTGAATAACAATTTAACCAAGATAAACCGTAATTCGGCCTGAAATGAATTATAGTGTTTACAAATTCCAGTTTAAAATATTTCTTAAAATCTCTTAGTGCCTAACTTTAAACAGGCGTTAAGCTAGCTATAAAACCAGTATTAAGTTAAAAATACGACAGTTGCTTTTTACTCGTTCCGTTATTTGATAACTTTTGATTTTGAAAGTTTTATAGACTTCCCTTTCCTGAATTTATCTTTGAGTTCGATATTTTTGTTATACTGTTTTTTTCTTATCATCTGGTTTGATATAGTAGGTGAGTATCTGATACTCACCCTTTTTGTGTTGGTTTTATTCGTAATTTGAAGATCGATTGAAATGTAACGAAAATATTTCGAGTTACCGCCAATAACCAATATATCCTTAAACTTCATTCTATGACATTATTCTGGTTTCATGTATACTTATATTTATAAACAAAGATTATTTGGCTATTGCCTTTCGCTGATTCTGCTTTTCTAAAGGGAATCTTTAGTTGTCCAATTTGCCTAGCTTTCAGCACGTATCCAGAATAAAAAAGTGCCAAAGACTTGTTTGACAGTATAAATACTGTTTAATTAATGTATTTTTTTTGTGTTAAGATTAAATAGAATAAATACAAATCACCAAACTTTTTTTTCAATTGTTGTATTATTTTTATTATCTGTATTTATATCTTTGTGTTGTTTTAATTTTTCTGAGTAGGATTGCTTTAACGCCTAAGCAATGAATATTTTGTATAGTGGTACGAAAAATTCATACAATAACACAAATTGAATGCAACATTTTATTTTATATAAAAAAAAAATAATTGTTGAAAGTCTGGATTTCGGTGATACATGTATGCTGTACATGTTCATCGTGTGTATCCATTAGACGGCCTTCTTCGACAAATCATGTGACAATTTCCTCTGTCATACAATATCCTTAAGCAGCCCAGGAAAGCAGACTTCGGGGGCCCTTTTTCGTTACATTCTGCATTTGCCCAAGGGAACAAAGGCATATTTCAACGATAACAAATTTCAGGTTTAATCCATCATTTTCTACATAAGAAAATGCTTGTACTTAGTCAGGAATATGACAGCTTTTTCCATTTGTTAGACGTGTTTGAGCAATTGATTTTGCAATTTTGTAAAGGACTTTCCGTTTTGAATATCCTTTGAAGTTCGGTATTTTTGTTATTTTAACGTTTCTCATAGAATTACAATTCATAATTTACTCTAATATTTCACCTTTTCAAACACATTTGACATAGATACATTTAAAATGAAAAAATACATGCATATCAAAATATATTAATTTGAGTTCTCCTATTATCTACTTTTTACTGAGTACATCAAACCATCAGTTCAGCATATTGTGTTAGCCGTATAAGTTAGTAAGATGTTAAAGAGCTTATTCGTGTAATGGCTGACATAATCAGACAAATGTCTTTCAAATCACCTTTTCAAGTAATCAGTTCCCATTGTGAAGTGATTAAAAGATGCAGAAGATAGAAGAGGAGAAATTAAAAATTCATAAGTAAAAAAAACCCTAATAAAATCATGGCAAAAACTACAAATCGGTAAAAGCACAAACAACAGTTCAGAAAATTATGAAATGAATTATCTAGCGAGGGGACATAATTTATACAGCGGAACGTTAAATTATAGGATAAATCTGGCTTCTTTCCATTTTCTTGCGAAGATGCTGTATAAAGTCTGGCTTAAATAAATAAAGGACAACTCTGCAAGAAGAGAAGTTGGTTCCCATATGAATGGGTATTGACATGATTTATAACAAATCTTTCTTAAATTCTCCGTTGATACATTCAAAATCATGAAGAAACCAAGGTTCCAACTTCTCACTTAAAGTTTACCTTAGAATGATTTGGCTATCACTTTTGAATCCATTTGGTCGTATAGCTCTTTATAAGCCAGGTTCGAAATTTATCCATCCGGCTTTCAAATTTTTCCTTTTGGCTTTGAGCGATCCTGATTGAGGTTAATCCATGAAAACGCTTCGGACGCAAACAAGTTGATAGTGTTATTTCATTTTGTTTTCTTTTTTTTTTATTTGAAGTACATTTTTTCTTTAATTGTTTCCACGTTCAAAACAATTTTAATTTCCTATAACTGATGGTGAATGATTTTGAATAGAAATTCAAATAAATTCCAACCACGTTAAATGTAATTTAAAAAACTGTTTTTACTATTCATTTTGAATAAATTTTTATTTCTATCTGTTTCTCAGATGACTACAGATGTGTACCAATTGTCGTAACAACATTCCCGTCCTCTTTTCCTCGAAATCCCCGATTTAGGCCTGCCCAACAATTTATACTCACGATGAGCAACATGACGGATGGCACATGTAGAGTAGGATCTTCTTCCCTTCATGGACACATGAGATTACCCAGGTTTTATGTGTAGCTCGGTATTTAGATTTCTATGTAATGTTTTGTAGACTGCCGTTTGTATTTTGATTGGTTTTTTTTGTTTTTGTTTTTAGTGTTGTCAGTTTATCTTTGACGTTTCAATTTGAATATTCTTTCAGTATCTTCCACCTGTGTTAATGAAAAAATGAAATGAAGTGTTCTCCCATCCAACTCTGTAAAACAAATTTTAGGGTTGATACATATGTAGACGTAAATTAAAGAGAATATAAATAGTTTGAATGGTTCGTTATTTAGATCGACTAAAGTGATGTCAAATCCTTTTCAGTTTGAGTTTTATGATAATGATTATAACGCACAATGACGGAGCATGAAGAGAAGATCTCGAAGATACATGAAAACCGAGAATTATTCTATTGTTCAATGGTTTGGTGTTAACTGAGAATGGTTCCCAACCTTTTTCTTAGCGTAAGCTCAAGCGTGGTAAAATCAGAAACGCAATGAGTCTAAATAATCGCTGTATTTCTAACAGCAGTTGAATAAAAGCAAGTCAATTAATAAACAATAACGTCCATACCATGAGGAAAAAAGAGGCTTTCGGTTAGTTATCATTACAACAGTACAAGTCTCTGATTACAACGGAATTAATAACGTGCATATTTAACCAGATTGTTAAAAAGTCAAAACGATATTTCGTAATAACTACATGTATTATAACAAAATGACAAACATGACTGTTGTAGGACAATTTTTAAACTTTAGTACATTTTAAAAAATAAACATATGCATAATCTACAATTTCATAGAAATAATACATGGTGACATTAAAGTTTATGATGTCATGAAAAATATGTTTGTTGTAGGAGGAAATAAAATGTGTTATTGAACCTTAGTACATATCCTGATACATGCATAATCCGCAATTTCTTAGTACTACGACATCGTCGTGACATTTAAAGTTTTTATATTACTACAATTAACGAATTCATCATTTGCGGTTCAGTTACAAATTTCCTTGTGTGCATGTCAATCATAAACAAAATAATTTATACGGTATAAAAGAACGATTTTGAAGCAGTGAAACAGTATTCACAAGAAATCCTTCGAATAACTTCAAAGAAAGGTAAGGCTTATGGGTAACAATTAATTATGAATAATTATGATAAATAAACAAAACAATAATACAATAGTGACAAAGATAGCAGGAAATAAATCATTATAGCATTAGAATTTATTAAGTTTAAAGCATAAGGATTATTCGATACTTCTAAAGAAGCATTTGCTCCCTTGGCAGAACGAAACAGTTCAATTTTATAAAGAATAGTATAGTGAAAGTTGTGGATTGTTTACATTTCTGTAATAGAATAGTAAGAAAAAAGTATTATAACAAAAAAATGCTTCAAAGTATATTTAAGCAACACATTTTATTTTTACTGCCTTTTTAAATCTATCGAAAATGAAAACCCGACTAAATTAATTTTTTGATATATTGAAAATCAATTTAAGTGATAGAAGTTCGAGATTTATATTTTGCTTCATTCCTTTTCTTTTTTTAATTTGTTAACACGTAAAACTATTTCTTTCATATATTTCAAACTTTTTATGTCAACACATTCTCATATTGTATAATAAATTGAAACTTATGTTTCATGATTAATTGCGCCAATTCCTTGTCTAGAAGTTGTTATACTCTTTTTTTTTTTGTATGATCAGCTCATCATGGCCGGTATTAAATCGTGGATTTTCAAATATGTTTGGCTTGAGAATCACAGAAGGTCCATTAATTGTCGAATCGATCATCTGACTTGTAAATATTAAGGCAACAATGTCCACATTTTGTTTGTTGTTTCGGTTTTAATTTTCAAAGATATCCGTTTTTAAACAATAAAAGTCGAAATATAGACCTCCTTCCATCTTTTCCTATTGAGTCTTCTATTTTCAGAATAAATTTTAGAAAAGCTATTTTCAATACATAACTTCAAAGTTTTAACGATAGTGAGGTTTTTGTAATTAACATAACAATGGCTTTTGCAGATATAACCTTACCCAATATCTCAATTTTGAAGAATTTGTAGCTCGAAAGCAATCAGTATGAATCCTACAATTCGGCTTCGAATGAAGATATTCTGTCATATTTGTATACACAAAACATGTATAAATATCGCTGCAGATTGTTTCTAGCAGGTTTATAGTAAAAACATGTAAATATGAATATAAAGATTGTGTTAACTGATTCGTATTTAATGTGTCAATTATGACTTTCTGAGAAATAACGTTTATCCTGTTAATTTCAGAATTCTTAGAGATGATGAGATCCCAGACCATTTTCTTATCGATGGCAGTGACCACAATGATAGTAGCCGGTAAGAAAATGTTACTTTTTTCGAGATTTATAGGCTGTTTTAAAGAAAGTTTTTTCGATGTTGAGATAAATACCTTACTGCAGAAAATAAAAAACAAAATATATATATAATTAAGTACATAAGAAATATTATTACCAACATTTCCATATTTTTTGTGAATTACAATGTAAAAGTGAAATGATATAAAGATAGTAGTTCACCTGTATTGTATTTTGTATTACTTGTACTGTGAAGATTGTAAAAATCATTCTATATTTAATCTTACAGCCTACTCACCAACCGAAAAGCATGCATTAGACATTCATGGAGTGAAGAAGATTTTACATGTCGAAAACACATCTGGAAGAGCTATAAACGGGCGTCGTGGTAGCGGATCTCTTTCAGTACTAGATGTTATTGATGCAAATAGACGAGCAGTTGAAACATCTCATGGAATAGGAAACGAATTTATAACACGTGGGTCATCCGGCAGTAGAAGATTGTCTGGTGGTTCTGTTGGAAGCAGGACATCTGTATCTGAAATCATAAGAGGCTCCTCAGCTGGTATGTCGCGTGCTTTATCTGACGATGACAGTATCAGTAACTGTCATTATGGGTGTGGAGGAGATAAATTGTGTCGTTCAGGACATAAATGTATTCACAATGGATGTAGCAGCTACTGCGTTGAAATATCTTCTGGAAGTATAATTGGTGCATCTGGATTGTCGGACTCTATAAGGAGGGAAATAATTAGAAGTTTATCATCTGGTTTGACCAGAGTTTCAAGTAATGATGGTCATTTATCCTCTGGCAACAGAATTGGTTCATCAGGTCTGGCTAGGAATTTGGACCTATCTAATAATGCTCACTTGGAAACAATAGGTAGAAGCCGTGGAATGTCTGGTCATGCAGGTTCTGATATTCTTGACGCAACCAACCTAAGACGAAGTGGACTTGATGTATTAGACACAGTTTCTTTAAGACGTGGTGGTTCAGTGCGTACTTCTGGTTCAGGGGTCGTTTCTCAGTCAGTAGTAACTGGAGCAATTGGTTGCAAAAAAGATTGTCTTGCTGATAGAGATTGTCCAACCAACAAATACTGTGCAACTGTTAATTGTCACATGATTTGTCGAAGAAGGCCGTCTAATGGATACACACGATGAACATGTACAAGATATCATGGAAATCCAGACTTTCAACACTTATTTATTTTTTTTATAAAATAAAATGTTGCATTCAAGTTCATGTAATTGTATAACTTTTCCGTTCTACAGTACAAAATATTGATTATTTAGGCGTCAAAGCAAGCCTACTCAGAAAATTTAAAACAACGAAAAGATACAGATAATAAAAATAATACTACAATTGAAAAAAAGTTTGGTGATATGTATTTATACCATTTACTCTTAACACAAAAAAAAACATCATAACATAAACTATAAGAAAAATGTTAAACAAAGCCTATATAAACACTTACGCCAAAGCAAACACCATGCTTTGACAAGTTGTACATTGATTTGCATCCTGAAATAGCTACTAAAAGTTGGAAACGCGATAAAAGCTAGGCAAATCGGGCAACTAAAGATTCCCGTTAAAAACATAGAATCAGCCAAAGACATTAGCCATATAATCTTTGTTTATAAAAATTGGTATACATGAAACCAGAATAATGTCATAGAAAGAAGTTTTAGGATATATTTAAATTGCGAAAATAGTTTACCTCAGGAAATATTATGTTTATTTGTAAATTTATGTATGTACACTTTTATGGTCGGTCCTTGATATTTAAAGATATATGAAGTATTTATAGCTCACTATGCGGTATGGGTTTTGATCATTGTTGAAGGTCTTTCGGTGGCCTATAGTTGTCAACTTCAACATCATTACGTCTCTGATGGAGCTTTGTCTCATTGACAATCATGCCACATCTTCTTATTTTTATATTTGAGAGACAGGTAAAAGGTTCCAGAAGCCCTCTTCGAGGTTCCATATTTGATAACTACTTACCTTACCTCAACCGAAAATTTTTTTTATGGAAATCTAAGAGAATCCATCATAACATTTGTAAGCAAATATACAGTTAGTCTTTTGTAGCATGACAATAAAATAACACTTCACAGTTGATCTGTGCTTCTATATTCATATGGTATAGGAGACTTCTCAGGTTCTATTTTGCTGTAGAACATGAAATTAGATTTAATGATTAAGTATTAAAAAAACAACAATCGGTTTATATCAATGAGTATGGTGAAGATTATGTGTTTAGTCTATAATTGATTAAAAAAAACTCAATCATCAAACGGTTTTATGAATATAAAAAAAAAAGAAATTTTGTTCAATTAGGATAATGACGCAGAACAACAATAGATATTTTAAACAAGCGGAAATGAAATTTGCATTTTGCATATTTAAATTCGTGGCCAATCAATAACAACAAACTCGAAAAGGTCTTAACACTCAACCTTTCATTTTTGTCCTTAGGTGAATGATATTTAACATGCAATTACGTAGAATATACTTTCAGTTCGTGCATTTTCTGAAAACCAACACATTACCCGATCTTTGTTTGGTAGGCAAAGACAAAAATAATGGTTAATGGTCGCTTCAAAAAAAATTCAAACATCGACTTTACAATTAGCATTCACTTAAAACATACCAAATTGATATGTTTAACCATTATTGTTGTCTACATCGATCACTTTTAAACTTTTCAGAATGTAACCACGGTCTGCACCGTAAATGTTTCAAGAAGAACTTTTTTGATATCCACGGCCAATCAAACGTCACAACACGATAGATGACAGGTATCAAAAACGAAGAAATACAGACATGCCGAGGCAATCAATGAAATGGATACAAACAAAACAAACAATGTTCAAAAACAAAAAATTAAAATAACACTTTATAAACAAGAAATTGCACAGAGAGACGAACAATTCTTTACCTGAAGCAGCTTTTAGCTTAACAACTTAAGTGGTAGTACAATCAAAACAATATACTAATTTCGTGTGCACTACATCTGTGTCATATATGTACATGGAAAAATATCAAAAGTTCGTAAGGCCACACTAAAACATACATTTGGTAATGCACATGGTTAAAAACACCCATAGAATACTGCAAATCCATAAATTATTGCGTGCATTTATTAATGCGATATTTGAAAAATGGACAAAATGCGAAAATAATCATAGCGTTTTTTAGACAAAACATATATATGTATCAGATATATAAGTGTGAGTTCTTATTATTGCGATAATCACCCAGTCTCATTATTCGCATTAATAAAAACCTCGTAATAATTTCAGATTTTTTAGTAGTTCGAAATCATAATTTTTCCGTTTCATAATACTTTGCCATTTCTAAGAACTTGTAATATGATAATGTTTAGTTGTCTCTTCTTAATTGTTTTTGTTTAAATGCCTGATGGGAAAGTGAGTCTTTGCAAACAAAATGCACGTCTTGCTTACAAGTTTACAATCTGTATCTTTGATGAGTTTTTACAACCATTGGGTCGATGCCACTGCTGGTGGACTTTTCTTCCCCGAGGGTATTATCAGCCAAATATTCGAAACACTTAGGACTTTCTACTAGCGGGTATAGATGGCCTTAATTTAGCACAAACGTTCAAAATATTTAGTATAGAAAGCTCTTGAACTTCGTATTTAGTTTGGTCAACTGTTTGAGCGACACCGATTAGTAGTTCGAAATCATAATTTTTCCTATTCATAATATTATACTTTGCCATTTCTAAATACTTGTAATATGATAATGTTTAGTT